TATTAGCTGGTTAGTTTGGAGTTCTGGAGTATTTTAATACCTCTGAAATAAACTGCAGATGGTAAGGGGAAGCAAAATGCTTTGCTTGTACTGTTCCCACCAGATTAATTAATGACTGATACAATATAATGCTAAAACATTGTTTTTAAAGGGTGCTGTTCATCCTCTGGCTATTTTTGGGCATCCTTTCACCCTTTTGACAGGCAGCTGGTGCTGAGAGCAGCTTGATTTTCCAGTACACAAATTCTAAAGCACCAGAGGTTGTTCAGAGAGTCCAGACTTCCTCTGACACTGATGAGCTGGTTACATTTCGTAATTAAAATTACAAATGCCCGGTTAACACAGGTGAGTTTTTTAGTAGCAGATGGAAACTAAAGGGGTTTATTGCAGAGGCTGGATTGTATAAATGCCTTGGGAATTCAGGTGTAGCTCTGAGGTGAGCCGTGCAGCACAGCTGCAGGACAATATTGCTGTGATGGCATAATTTGTGTCTTATCCGGTGCTCAGTGACAGTTGCCTGCTTCTGAGCAATGTCTGGGACAATATTGCTGTGATGGCATAATTTGTGTCTTATCCGGTGCTCAGACAGTTGCCTGCTTCTGAGCAACATCCAAGGAGCTCAGCATTGAAATACTCAGGAGTTTCACTGGGCTTGCACTTCAAGGCTTTGTGCCTCCCCAGGCTTGCGCTCGGCCGCTGATCTCCGTGTACTCCGAGAAGGGCGAGGCGTCGGGCAAGAACGTGACGCTGCCCGCCGTGTTCAAGGCGCCCATCCGGCCCGACGTGGTGAACTTCGTGCACACCAACCTGCGCAAGAACAACCGGCAGCCCTACGCCGTCAGCGAGCTCGCGGGTACGCCTGGCCCGCTGCCTCGGGGGCTTTGTGTTCTGCACGTTCTGCCTTTGGTGTGTGCTCTGCTGCAGTCTGAGCTTCCTGTTTTAGGGGGTGGGGAGCTCTCTGCGCAGAGTAGGACACAAAATTCCTTCTCTAGCTGGGGAACGGGGCAAATGAGCCAAATCTCAGCCCAAGAGCACAAACAAGGCGGGCTGAAGAGAGAAAAACGAGCAGGATGGGACTTGATAACCTAAAGCTGTAATTGGGCAATTAACTCCAATGTGCAAATGGGCCAAAACTTACAAAAGTGTGAGACCCCATGACCGGGCGTCCATTTTTGTGACCATTTTGGTTCATCTTGGGTGTAGCCCTGGCTGGGTTCTTTTGCTGCCCAAGGTGTATCTGCTGTGGCCTTTGAATAAATCCCTACTTCAACTTTGTCTAGGTCAGCCTTCACAAGGCATCAGGGCTGTATTGCAGCGGGGTTCACATGAAAATAAAGCTGGAGTTGGGATAAGAGAAAATGCTTATCCGTGGGGCGTAGAAGGCAAGGCCAGTTGTTAACAGCATGGTTTGAAATGCAGCAGTTTTATCATTCTGAGGGGCATCAAGGTGTTGTTTTGGGGTACTCTGTGGTCTTGCTTGAAGTGTGTCTTGCTGGAAGTATCACAGACCTCAGATGGAATCATTCTTTGCAGGAAAAACATAAAACAGCTGAAAGTGTTCCAGGTGAAATCCCTGCTCCACATTGACCTCGTGAGACTTGCTTGAGGCATTTGCCAAGAAAAACCTCAAATGGACATTTGTTAGATTTGCTTCTGTTGTTTGTGCAGATAACTTGTGCTTCCCAAGCAGTCTCTGCTAGGAACATGCCTTTTTAACCTTATTTCTAAGTTTCACACAAACATCCTAACTTGCTAGTTATAGCAGTGCCAAGTCAGACGTCCAGATTGAGAATCAAGCTTAAACCAAGTGTCTTATTAAAGATCTTAGGTCAGAATCAGGTACGTTAATAGATTAGGATGAAGTTTTCTTGATTGATTCGTTATGCTGAAATGATGAGATTCCACTTCATTGGTCCGTGTTTCTGAAACACATGATTGTGTGGAAGTTCTGATCGGTGCCCCGAGTTCAGCATCCCTCTGGATGCAGGACATGGCAGTGATGGCACCTGGGGACCCTCACGATGTCTCTCTCTGTTGCAGGTCACCAGACCAGTGCTGAATCATGGGGTACTGGGAGAGCTGTTGCCCGAATCCCGCGCGTCCGGGGTGGTGGCACTCACCGCTCTGGCCAGGGTGCCTTTGGCAACGTATCCTTCCACGGCTGTGCTGGCTTTGGGGGCACTGAACTCAGCCAGCAGAAACGTTTTTAATTATCTAAATGTGTGATGGAATCTTTTTCTTGAGGTAATGGCTGCAGCTCAGACTTGATTTGATGAGATTCCCGCTCTCGAGCCACATGACCCATTCTGTCTTGCCATGATGTCGTAATTTGCGCCTTACCCTGTGCCCAGGGACAGTTGCCTGCTGTCAGAATCCTGGCACAGGTGGTTGACGACCCATTAAAGCTGAGCAAGCAGTAAAAAGTCACTTTGGGATAGGAAAACTCCAAAAAGTTGTTCTTAACCGCAGCTCCCAGATGTGTCGTGGCGGCCGCATGTTCGCCCCGACCAAGACCTGGCGGCGCTGGCACCGCAGGGTGAACGTCATGCAGAAGCGTTACGCCATCTGCTCTGCTCTGGCTGCCTCTGCCCTGCCAGCTCTGGTCATGTCTAAAGGTGAGAATTCTGCCTCTGGAATTGTTTGTCTGAGCCAGCATTGGGTACTTTGTGGTGGCTTAAATGGAGTCTTGCAGAGCAATTTGATTTCTGTTCATGGAGGCAAAGACTTACTCAACACTCGGGTACACAAAGTCCTGTGTGAGACCTGCAAGACACCACTGGAACTTCACTGCTCTGGTTACTGTGCCTGGCTTCATTTCACTAATTTCTATCATGAATTGATTTTTATCATGTATCATTTATGAATATATATAAAGCAGTAACCTAGGAATGGTCCAGCCAGGGTCAGTGAGCAACACTGAATGTCTTGTGAAATCCTGTCTAGGCCACCGCATTGAGGAGATTCCAGAACTTCCTCTGGTTGTTGAGGACAAGGTTGAGGGCTACAAGAAAACCAAGGAAGCTGTTCTCCTCCTGAAGAAGCTTAAAGCTTGGAATGACATCAAAAAGGTGAGCTGGGAAGGTGTGATCTGCAGGGCAGAACACAGGTGATTCATCTGTGCAGTTCTTAGAGTAGGAATTCCAAATAGTTCTGTATTTTGACTGGAGAATGATGAACATCTCACCGGTCCGTGTTGCAGATGCGCAGTGATGATGGTGAAGTTCTGACTGGAGCAGTGTGTTGGGCCCTTGGGATATTCACTTTCTGGGCCCTTGGGATATTCACTTTCTGGGCCCTTGGGATATTCACTTTCTGGGCTCTCGGGATATTCACTTTCTGCCTTTGCCAGGTTTACGCCTCCCAGCGCATGCGGGCCGGGAAGGGCAAGATGAGGAATCGCCGCCGCATCCAGCGCAGGGGACCCTGCATCATCTACAACGAGGACAACGGCATCATCAGAGCTTTCCGGAATATCCCAGGTGATGAACCTGGCACACGCTCGCCCTTCTGTTGGGACACTGCCTGGAATGATGAGATTCCACTTCATTGGTCCGTGTTTCTGAAACACATGATTGAGTGGAAGTTCTGACTGGCTGCAGTAGTTGATATGCTCTTTGTAAGAACCTGTCAGGGGTGGTGTTTAGGGTGTTTGTGACAAATGTTGCAGCTGTTCTCAACCCTCAACTGGGCAGTTAAAAATGAGGCTGGTTACTTTGCCACTGGAAAAAAGGCTTATTAATTTAAAATTCAGTAGATGTTCATACAGAGGTATGTGTAGCTATAGAGACCCCCAGTCTCTTTCTGCAATGTTCATACAGAGGTATGTGTAGCTATGTAATACCAAAGCCAGACACCCCCGGTCTTGTCTACTGCTGAGCCTCACATTCCTCGATTTGAATCACAAACTGAAGGGGTTGCTGTGCCTGGTCTCGTGCAGGAATCACTCTGCTGAACGTGAACAAGCTGAACCTGCTGCGCCTCGCTCCCGGGGGCCACGTGGGGCGTTTCTGCATCTGGACCGAGAGCGCCTTCCGCAAGCTGGACGATCTGTACGGCACCTGGCGCAAGGCGGCCACGCTCAAGAGCGACTACAAGTGAGTGCAGCCAGGGGGCAGCTTTCCCCTTCTTATCAGGAAAAGGGATACTGGGACTTGCTCCTGAGTGCCTGGTTGTGGTGAATTAGCCATGGTTTTATCACCCACTCACACTCTGAACCTTGGTTTCGCAGCCTGCCAATGCACAAGATGACCAATACTGATATTGGAAGAATCATGAGAAGCCAGGAAATCCAGAAGGCCCTGCGTGCTCCAAAGTGAGTGATTTTATTTAGCAGGGAGGTTTGAAATTGCTTTCAGGCTGGGATTTCCTAATTTCTGGGTACAAAGGCAAGGAATTGCAGCTGCCCAGATTCCAGGGAGAATTCAGCAGAAGTGGCATTGTGAAATACCCTGATGATACAACATGGCTGTGCTTTGCAGGAAGAAGATTCAGCGCAGGGTCCTGAAGAAGAACCCGCTGAAGAACCTGAGAATCATGATCAAGTTGAACCCGTACGCCAAAACCATGCGGCGCAACACCATCCTGCGGCACGCGCAGAACGTGAGTGCCGGGGCCGGGGCTCGGGGCGCAGCTGCTGCCCTCACTGACCGTCTCTCTGTCTGTTGCAGCACAAACTCAAGGAAGAGAAGAAAGCCAAGGCCCAGGAGAAGCTGGCAGCCAAGGCCCCGGCTGCACCCAAGGCAGAGCCCGCTGCCAAGAAGGCCAAGACAGCCAAGGCGGCCAAGCCCGCGGCGAAGGCCAAGGCCGAGGCGTGACCGCGGCCGTGCTGCCCCGGGGTGCCCGCGGGGGCTGTGCCCGCGGTCTGTCCCTAATAAAGGCTGTTGGAACATAGAGCCGCGTGGCGTGTGCGTGTCCGAGCGGCCGCTCAAACGGGAGTTTCGGGGGCGGGACGGAGGCGGGCGGGGCCCGCGGAGCTGCAGTGCCCGGCGGTGGCCGCGCGGTGGCGCGCGCCGCCGCCGCGGTGTGACGTCACGCGGGCGGCCCGTGACGTGGCGGGGCGCGCCCGGCGGGGACGATGCTGAGCCGGCTGCAGGAGCTGCGCAGGGAGGAGGAGACGCTGCTGCGGGTCAAGGCGGCGCTGCACGACCAGCTCCGCCGGCTGCGGGTGCGGGGGGACACCCCGGGGCTGGGGGGCGGCCGCGGGGACGGGAGCGGGAGCGGCGGCGGGGCCGGGCCTGCCGCTCAGCCCCGCGCGGCCGCGCTCCGCCACGGGCCGGGCCCTGCGCCCGATCGGTGCTGGAGAGGGAGCAGGGAATTGCTCACAGGTCTGGGAAGGGGGATCCATCTCTGGGAAAGGGGGATCCATCTCTGGGAAAGGGGGATCCATCTGCGGTGCTCTGAGGGGTAGATGTAACTGTGTGCGGGGCACATCTCAAAGAGGTAAATGTAATTGAGTGTGTGTGGGGCACATCTGTAATAAGTACCTGTAGTTGTGAGTGTATATGTACATTAAGAGGTAAATGTAAGTGTGAGTGTGTGCAGGATATGTCTGTAATTGGTAAATGTGAGTGTGATGCATGTGGGATACATTAGGTGATAAATGTGAGTGTACATAGGATGCCTCTCTAAGAGGTAAATGTGAGTGTATGCAGGATACATCAAGAGATAAATTTAATTGTGAGTATGAGCAGGATACACCTCTAAGAGGTAAATGTGAGTGTATGCAGGATACATCAAGAGATAAATGTAATTGTGAGTGTGAGCAGGATGCATCCCTAAGAGGTAAATGTGAATGTATGCAGGATACATCAAGAGATAAATGTGAGTATGTAGGCTACATCTCTATGAGGTAAATGTGAATGTATGCAGGGCACATTAAGAGATAAATGTAATTGTGAGTGTGAGCAGGATGCATCCCTAAGAGGTAAATGTGAATGTATGCAGGGTACATTAAGAGATAAATGTAATTGTGTGAGCAGGATACATCCCTAAGAGGTAAATGTGAGTGCATGGTTTGCTGTAGCTGATGGATGGAGAAGGGCTAGTTGGAGGTAGTGGAGCTGGTTGGAGGTAGTGGAACTGAAGACTGCTCCACATTAAGAGATAAATGTAATTGTGTGAGCAGGATACATCCCTAAGAGGTAAACGTGAGTGCATGGTTTGCCGTAGCTGATGGATGGAGAAGGGCTAGCTGGAGGTAGTGGAGCTGGAGACTGCTTGGGTTTAGAGACTCATGCATACCATAGTGAAGGAGCTTAGCACAGAAGGGCAGGATATTTTCCAGAGGTTAACAGCTGAAGGCAGAGCCGTGGGGAGGCAGCGCCGGGCGGGCTGTGCGCGCTGCCGGCAGTGCTCAGTGCGGTCCCTGCAGGTGGAGGAGCTGGCGCTGCAGTCCATGATCAGGGCCGGCGAGGAGAACGTCCCCGTGGCCCTGCCAGCCCTGGCCGAGGACACCCAGCAGGTAAGGGGGTCCCTGGGCTCGGAGGGGGCCCCACGGCCGGCTGGCACGTTGGCTGGGCTGGGTTGTGCAGCTCCTCGTGTCACCTCATTGATGCTTCTCCTCACTGCCGAGCTCAGCTGTAGTGTCAGCTTTGCTGCTGGTTTCTTTCCAGGGTTTCACCTTTTCCCATCCCCAAAAGCATGGCGTTTCCAGGGGATTGGGAAATAGCTGTGTGCTGTAGCTTCAGTTCACCACGTGTTAAATATTTTGTTCAATGCTTGTGACCCGGGGGTGGCACCGGTGCTGGGGATGGAGGCACAGGTGCTGCAGGTTTCACTCAATGCCTGCCAGCCTGACCCAGGTGCAGCTTTTCCATGGAGATCAGGGCCTTGTTGCTGTGATGGGCTCTCAGTTGTAGCTCTGAGAGCTTTAATTAACAGTGACTGCACAGCTCTGACAGTGATTTGAGAAGTGTTTGGTGTCTGTGCTGGCTTTGGTAATCAGCCCTTTTCTCTGACAGACTCTTGGGCAGATGGACAATGAGGCTGCCATCAATCAAACTGAGTTACACCTCAGTCTTCGGGATGATAAGGAGGAGGAGGAGGAAGAGGAGGAAGAATCCGATTCTTGAGAGAAAAAAATCAGAGATGGTTTTTAATACAGACTCAGGAATTTCTTCTTCATTCACCTGAAACTCACCAAGTGGTTTCCATTTTGTGCTGTGTGTGGGTATGAACTGTGTGACACACCAGAGTGGAGGGCAGTGACACTGAACACGTGAACTTCCCAGGCTGGGCACATCTTGACTCAGATGTTGAATGAAAGAATGAAAATCTGCTGCACAAATATGTAGCACAATCCATTCCACATTTCAAACCTAATGTAGCTCTTACAACATCTTTGTACGTGGAAGGGAGAAGCAATTGATCATCCAGACCAATTAACACTTGCACTGAAAGCAATAACTTGTCTGTTCTCACTTCCTGATGTGAGAAACAAACGCAGGTCCTGGAGGCTGCTGCTGCCCCAGTGATTACATTCTAACCTCATTTGCCTAAACTGGCAATTTCGGATACAGGTGAGAAAAGATGTGTCCAAGGCTGTCTCCAGCCTTCAGCTGCTGTGTTCTCAGTTCCATGGAAAGCTGGAGTTACTCCCAGAGTCTTCCCAGAGTCAGCCCAGTTCTGAGCACAGCAGGGAGGTCTCTCTGTCCCCCTGGTGCTCTTCAGTTCTATCAGTCTGTCCCACAGAAGGACTTTCTACTTCTGCTCCTTCAGAGCAGCAGCCAAAGGAGCCTTTTATTTGTCCACAAATTGTAGACTAAGAACTGATCTGTGGTGCTTGTACTAAGCTAATACTCTTAAATTGGTGTTACTTTATTTTTCTCTCATTGTAACCTCATAAATCAAGGCCAGGTTGCCTGCTTTCCTGTGATTCTCAAGGAGCAGCATGAGGAGTTTAAGAACTTAGTTATAAATGGAAAGTGATGTGAAATCTCCACAATTTTTGCATTTGGAAAAGTGTCTGGTGTCCTGGGGGTGGTCAGAGCTGACATTCAGCCTCCAGTGAATCCCTGCCCTGTTAATGAGTGTTAATTTGGCTCTTGTTTGGTTTGTACCATTGGAAACTGCTGGGATGTAAATGTGGCTTCATCGTGTACTAAAGGCTATTTGGGTTTTGAGGATCCTGGATGTCTTAATGAAGGAGTTCAGAACAGGACTGAAGATTGTTTAACAAAGCTTTCCCAAGCCTGACAGGTAAAAAACCCCCAAAAGTCTGAGCCAAAACTGCTATGGACAAATAAGCCCTTGCAGTGATGTGTGTGAAGAGCTGGTTTGGGAGGAGCCCAGGAGCCACCCAGGCCTTTCTTAGCACATTTCAACTCCAGAGGGTAATTCTGACTGTTGAAAAATGTTATTTGTGCCCAGCATGGTCCAGAGTAGTTTTCATGGATAGAATTCCTGCTGCTTTTGTGAATGAGTGCTTTTGGATTTTAACAGCCCAGTTCTAGTGCATGTTGCAATAAAGTTCTTTTCCTGCTGTCCTTACAACTGTGCTTGCAGTGCCCAAATTATTGCTGTCTGGGGGGACAACCCGAAGTGGGAGTTAAACCTCCCAAACCTTGCTGTGCATTTCTTTTAGCAAACAGTAAAAGGCTCTGTTTGCTGGGTGTAGGTAAAGCTCAGGAAAGAGTTTAATTTACACCCTCCCAGCTGTCCCTTCAGGTCTCTTCCAGCCAGGACAGGCTCGAGGAAGGCCTGGATTGCCAGTGAGTCATTTCCTGCCTCTGCTGGCCCGGGCTGTGCCAGCCCTTTGATACCTGATCCTTTGGCCATGTGGAAGTTCACTCCCGCTGATGGGGATTCCTTCTGGGGAACAATTTCAGGCATTTCCTCATCCAAAGTCCTTTCAAAGAGCTAGAATTTATAGTGCAGTGACTAGGTTAAAAGCCTTGGTCAAGTTTTAAAAAAAGCTTCAAGAAGTTACTTGATAATATATTTATTAAGAGAACCCATTGCTAAACATCTGAGAGAATAAAACAATAAAGGATTTTCATACACTTTTAGACACTAAACACAGTTGTCATGACTCTTTAGGTTAAAAGAAAGCAAAGTGCTTGGATCATTGTCTTGATTCCATAGGACACTTCCAAGAACTAACTTTTAAAAATCAATTAGAAAGACATACATCACTAAATCCAAGGATGATGATATGTTCGAAAAATAAATATAGAAATATGAACAAGTCTACAATTAGAATATTGCCCTGTGCATTCTGAGAAATGCAGAGCTCTTGCCTTCTTCACCTGCAAAGAGAGAGATCTCTAGACAACAGCAAAATTGGAGCCTAACTTTTGGGAACAGCTGGGCAGCAGCAAAGCATGCTCACAGACAGGCTCGGAGCATCCCGATCCCGAGCCCGGGGAGCTCAGGGAAAGCATGATTGAAGTACCAACGATTTACAAAGAGTCTTGATAAAGTTCAAACAAGCCAGGGGCCAACCCCCCTGCCCCAGTGATATTTTCATTAAGAAAGAATATCCATAATCACCTAAAATCAGCAAGCACTGGAACTTACACAGCTTACATTTGGTCAGTGAACGACGGAACCCGGTACAATACCAATTAGTTTAGGACGAGATTTAAAACCGTTTTGGCACATGCTATCAAGACATTCTTCCTTAAGAGGTGAAATACATGTTTGAACAGGTACAAGCTGAGGAGAGAGGACCAGGAGAGCGTGGTTGTCACCAGAGGTACAGTCCAGGAGCTGGCCCCGGGCTCAGACGCCGGCGGCGTGCGTGGGGGTGCTGGGCTGGTTAAGGCCGATGGTGGAGCAGAGCCACCCTGCAAAATCCACCTCCTCCGCCTCGGATCTCTTGATGAAAGCATGGATCTGGGCACAGGAGAACAGGGTCAGGGTGGCAGCCCTCAGGCTGCTCAGGAGCAGCCCTCAGGAGCAGCCCTAAATCCACTTGGAGCCATCGAGCTGTGAAGCTTTACAGACCACGTGGAGAAATCCCCGTGGAAATGCAGAACAGCCAGCACCAGGCAAAGCATCCCAGAGGAATCCTGCCAGTGCCTGCTGCAGCACAGAAACGATGGGCATGTGGCTCAGCCACTCGAGGTAATCCTCTGGAAAATGTCTGCCTGGGCACTAAAAGGCTTTTTGTAATAAAAAGAGTCTCTTGCATTTTGCACCATTATTGTGCAGCAGGGTCAGGGCAGGGAAAACCTGATTTCCTGCAGTGCAAATGAAGTGCTGACATTACACTTAAAACCATAAAAAGATGCACTGAGACTGATATGGTTATTTCACACAGACAAAAATGCAGGATGTGTGTTGAGTTCTACAGATTTTGCCAGACAAAGCTGGTAAAAAAGTGACAAATCTTGTGTTTCACAAGATTAAATACCTTAAAAATGCATTTAATTAGTCCATATGGCATATGAAGTTTTGTTCTTTTGTCCTCCTAAAAGTATTAATCAATGCTTTATTATTAACTAATAAACTCAAGAGAGAATTCTTTTGTTAATTAATTTAAGCCACCCATTGTGATTATCAAGTGGCAGACTCCACAACCCACCAGACTTTTGGTCTGCTTGACAGTCCCTATTGTAGGAGGTGTGAAACCTGCAGCCCCTTGATCTCTAGCTCAGAAAAGCTGTTCCTGCTCAAGCTGAGCTCCTCATGGGCCACCAGCCACCCTCGAGGCCACTGCTCAGCTGAGGAATCCAACCTGCCTGGGAAGGGGCTTTTAGATCAAATTTAAAACCTTCACTCACCATCAGCTGCTTCAAGTCGGCTCTCTCAGCAGGATTTTTAATTAAACTGGGAAAACACAAAGTGGTGCACAAGTTACACTCCATTACCATTTAAAGTAAGGCTCCTGTTGGCTGCACTGCTCTGCTCTGATGACACCACTCAATAAAAGCACCAGGTGCCTCTCAGACAGAGATGGGAGCCTGCAGTTCCCTTCTGTGGGTTCCACAGCTCCAGGTAAGAAATCCTGAGTTGTCTGAGACTGCTGAGTGTCTAAACCAAGCTGGAGAGATAAATCCCATTTCAACTAAAACAACATGAGCCCCTTTATCCCTCATATTTCTTTGCCCCAAGTCTCTTCAAGCTCAGGATCAAGTAGAGCTATTGATTGTCCTTCCTTTTGGAAGCTGTAAATAGAGATATTTGATAAATAAACAAACTTTTGAACTGCAGTGAGCTGCCCCCCTTGGTTCAGTGCTGGCACCACTGAGGTGCAGCTGGGGAAGTGAGGAGATGGGGGAATGGCTGCTGGGATAAAGGTGTTGGCTCATGGGCAAGGAAAACCACCTGGAGCCTGCAGGATTGTGCTCCCCACGGCACAGCCATTGCAGGAGGAGGTGCCTGAGCCTTGCTGGCCCTGCTGGGGTCACTCCCTAAGGGCTGCTCTGAGCTGCACACAGCAGCAGAAATTCAGGGCTAAAGAGGGGAATCTCCCTGAGCCTTGGGGCTCCTCTGGATGCACCTGTTGCCTGTGAGATGAACTGGAAATTAACACCCAGAGGATTGATTATGCTGATTGCAGTGCTTACATTTGCCCTGGCCTGGAGCAGGGACTCTGATTGCCAAGTGCCTGATAGACAAAGGTGAGCACAGCGTGTCCCTCTGCCACTCAGCCACAGAGAAAACAGAGAAAATACTCACCATTTGTTAACAAAATCTTGAAATTCAGAACCAAAGACACCATTGGGCAGTTTTGGAGGTGGCTGTAAATAAATAAATAAATACATTTTTAAATCAGCAATCATTCAGCATAATGTTACAGTGTGGACATGTCCCACATCTCAGCAAAGCTGTACAGCCCTGGCTGATCTGGGTTATTACTCCCAGCTGCAAGACTTCAGGTGTTTCAGTTCTAAACCAGACTTTCCCTGCTATGGGGTGGGTTTTGTTGGGTTTTGTTTGGTTGGTTGTTCTGTTTTCTCCACACACACCTGGATGGGGTGAGCACAGCCTCAGCTCTCATTAAAGAAGGCTCAGAGCACTAATTAGCACCCTGTCATTCTCCACAGTGCTGAGGGAAGGTGCCTTGCACATCATTAGTTCCATAATCCTTTTGATGTCACTTTTCTGTCCCTGGGAATGAGTTTGTTCAGGCTCTGAATTCAGACACAATTCTGACAAATAAAGAAGGGGGCTGCATAAACCTGCACGTTACTGCCTCGTCCTCCAGGACTTGGCCACAGGATCAGGGTTGAGTTCCCATCCTCACACTGAGTTACATTTATGCACAGGGCAGGGCAAGACCTGCACCCCTCCCTCACTGGAGCACAGCCTGTGTTGGGCTCCTGCTGAAGAAGTTTGTGCTAAATCAGAGGTGGCACAAGAAAATCTTGCCAAACTCTGAGCTGCTGCAGCTTTTCAGCCCAATCTGGCCCCCTCAGGGATGCTGCAGTACAGGACCACAGCAGCTGAAGTGATTCAATGCTCACTCCATTCCCAGAGTTAGTGCTGCCAGATTGGGGTGTTATATAATATGCAAAACAGATTTGTAATCTGAGAGAATTGTGCAAGCAGATGAGTTACAGGAGCAATTTATCAATTTATCAGTGGCACAGGCAATGCAGGGACCCAGACACCAACTGTGCCTTTCAAATGGGTGAGCTGGACAGTTTTCAATAATTCATCCAGCTGGAACCATTGTTATCCAGCTGCTACAAATGACAGCTAACATGAGCATGCTTTTTTCTTTTTCTGAAGAACACAAGCAGTGGAGTCCCACAAGTTTCAGTGGTACTTGTGAAAATACTGGAAACAAGCCATTCTAAAATATGAATCTCTAACTAGCCTTGAAGCTTAGCTGTTTGAAAGAGAATTGTGACTCAGTCATAAGGCTAAACCAGACTAAACAGCACTAACCCCAAATTCCAGGATGCTTTCAAAGTTTACAGTTGTGAAGTGCAGATTTTTAAGTTTATAAATTACCTCATTGACAATGTAATCCAGAAGTTCAAAGATTGCCATTGGGGGTCTGCTGTCTGATCCATAGGCTGGGAAAAAATGGGAGAGAAATTGGAGAAATTGGGATCAGTGTCTCCCTCCATGGCTTCAGGGGTGCTTTGGGAAGCCCAAGTCTGACACTTCTGGCACCCAGCAGATTTACAGGGAAAAGGAGCAAGAGCAGCAGGGAAATGCTTTCATGCAAGGAGACATTTCCAGGTCTGACCCAAAGCATTCACTTCACTGGGATCATCCTGCTGCACTGGGATCAGCATCTTGGAGAAAACCAGAGCACCAGACTAGGATCTCAGAGTGGTTTTTGGTTTTTTATCAGTTTTTTTATCAGATTGTGAAATCTGAAGGTTTTGAGTTCAATCCTCACACAGGGCACCACTTTGTGGAATTTCTGGGGTTTTTTTGTTAAGGTCAGGATTAAATGTGTGAGATGGTATTTCTTGTTTAGGCTCAGATGTTCATTGGTTCTTATTTAAATTATAGTCTCACAAATTGTGAGTTTTACAGCACTGTAAAAAACTAAAAATGGAGTTGTATCTTTCTCTCTAGAAGGCATT